GGGGACCTTTGCAAAGCTTTTTCAGTGAGAATCAGAGTAAGCTCAGTTTTAAGACCTGATCTCGGAATAGAATTTCATTATCTAAATATTTTTAACAAACTTTGATATTTATTAGTGCTCAAGTGATCAGCAGGTAGGTGAGAAAAATGAAGTACTAACCTAATGTTTGTAACGTATTTCTCAATTTTTAAAGACTTTCAGGTCTTGCTCATTGGTCAGGTTTATGAGCTTGGGATACCAACTGTGCATTTGTGCTTTCACTTCTTCATAAATCCATGGAAACTTTTCTGAAAAGTTTTAACTATAACATGGCAATGAACTATAAAGGAAAGGTTTATTTTGTATATACCCTCTCTACCTGAGGTCCATGGTTAGATTCTGAATTAGAGCTTCTCGCTCTCAAGTGCTCGGCTTGTGCTTTTGATCATGCCACTCTTTGCAGAAAGCTGAGCGAGTTTCTGTTTCATAAAGAGGAAAATACAGACTTGTTTTGATGTCTATATAAATGCATGTTTTCTCTTATTTTTGAGGCAGTGGAACTTAGGCTTTAACATCTCTACAGCTCTCTCTAGGTCTCTCTGCAATCAAAGTTTCCACAGAGGACTTAATGGGGAACAGAAATCATTTGGTTGTGGTGGTGGTGGTGCACTTGATAGATTTTTCTTTAAAGGCAGTGCGTTGATAAAAATAGTAAGTAACCTAGTCTACTCATAACAGCTTCGTCTTTAAGTTCATGCAAGTTTAGGGAGAGGTAAGTGACTAAAAAGATGAGTGGCTTAAGATTCACTGAGTGATACTGAAAATACTACGACTGAAATACCAAAGGAGTGAAGGATATATAGACCTTTGCCCATTACATCAAGAAAATGAAAAAGTTAGGAAGGGAGGGGGGGAAATCCTGTGTTGTATTTTTTCAAGTCCTACTCCAAACGGGGTAACCAGCCCATTAGTACAGGTGCCAGGAAGCTGGCTTTGTGACATCTCACCAAACACACCTACTTTCACTGGACACAGAAAGATCAATCCTGCCTGAAAACCACCCATTACCTAAGACACCTAATTTATATTAGAAGCTCACTGAAAGGCACTGTCTGGCCCCCAACCTTCACTTCCAATGATAAAGAGGATGTTTTACACCGTATGTGACACTTAATCAAAACCGATATTCTTTAACAAACCCTTAACCTCTAGCACACAGGAGTCACATGAGGCCAAGGGACAAGACACAGATCCAGCTCAGGGTGGCATATCCTTTGATTAAGATGATACAGATTTCCCATTTTTATCAGGGTTACGGATTCTGGATATATCCCTTTTTGATTTGTCAGCATTAAATTTCAGTAGAGGTTCAAGCCAAAGAGAGACCAAGACTAGTTCTGTCTTCGGCTGTGCATTAGGAGATAATTTCTCAGAATCCTCTACAGTAATGATCCTCTGATCTTCTGATCTTTCTGTAAGCAAGTTTTTCTGGGAACCTGGATTTAAACTATGGCACAAGCCTTGCTTGCATCTGGGTCCTTTCTTAAGGAGGAGTATCTAAATACACTTATTCTATGAGCCCCGAGACGGACCTTTTTTCTTTCCTCAGGTCTTTTTTCAAAGAGACAAACCTTCAAGTGAGTTCTTTCACCCTCCCTTGGATTTCTGGGGCAGGAGGTTTTACTTAGGGAGTACACAGTACTTTAGACAGGCATTGCAAACTTCAGGGGGTGAGGCAATTTTCACTCCCTGCAGTACATTGGAATGTCACTGAAGTCTACTTTACTCCCATGTGATTTCTTTCCCCCTTACTTTTTTTAAGTGACCCGTTAATCTAGCATTTGTATATGTCTAATATGTGCAAGGATAAGACTCTCAGATTCCTTGATTTAAAAAAAAAAAAGTTTGTGAATAAGGAAAGTTTGAATTTTTTCCCCTACTTCTAGTCAAAAGTTTAAAAGCAGAGGTTTATATTTTGGTGAGAACGCAAGTCTGTAGAAATAAGTGCTACTTGCCATTGTTATTCAAAAGTACTGTGGTGTCACTTGATTATTAACGTGCAAAGGAGACCTAGGAGGGCCCTTGGGTTTTGGCTCTCTGTTTACGGACAGAACGGCGGCTCGCCCGCCCCGCAGCGCAGCGCTCTGTGGATGGCGCAGACCGGCCGGAGACAGGCTCGCTTCCTTCAAGGGCATGGTAGCCCAGACCCGGGAGCACGTCTTATTTAGACTATATTCATTGATTTGGTCATTACTAACACATTTAGAATAGTTTGTTTTGTGAGGAACTCCCTTTCTCCCATCTTTTCCATAGCAGCGAAGAAGCCCTGCTCACCTTACACAGAAGCTCAGAGCATCTAAAAATGTCTCTAGTAAAACTAGTGAGGACAAGATTAAATATGTCTTTGGGACTCCAGCAAAAAGCGATAAGCAGGAAGCAATTCTTTTCAGACCCTTCAGACCTTCTTTTCACATCATAAAGAGCAAGAAGAGGGCAAGGTATGGAGGTTACTTTTAAGAGAGAACTTCAGGCATACAGAGAGACCTGTAATCATGTTAAATTATCTTTAAAGGCAACTGCTGTTTATGAAATGCAAGGCTGACAAGCAAAAATCTGGAGGACTGGTTCTAGACATATCACATACTTCAAAGGTCAGTCTTATTTTCCCCTCTCCTGCTTTTAAAACTTCATTAATAAACTGTATTCAAGGAGAAACACTAGGATCTCAGCTGCTCCTTCTCAGTTACTTGCCCATTGTGACTTCTTAATCAGAGAATTAATTGGGCTCTGAAATCTGATTTTCTACAAAATCTTTTTGGATTTAATCAGGGCATTCTGCTGGAAGCAATCTTTCACTTAAGCTTTCATACAAATGTGGCTAGAGAAACTATGTCATTTCCTGCATCAAATAACATCAAAGGGTTTTTTTTTTTTTTAATTTAATTTTTTTTTTTTTTTTTTTTTTTTTTTTTTTTTTTAACTAAATATGTCCTATGCTTCAGTTTTGGTCTCTTTGCTCAAAGAAAGCCAATGCTTTATTTCTTTTTCTCTCCTGAGGAGGTTGAATCTTCTACACTGCCATGCAATTTAAAATTAATAAATTGCTAATGAATAAGGTGCATGATTCAGGTGCTGTGCAGTGAGCTTGGGTGGACATCAAGAGCAACAGCCATGCGTTGGCTTCCCAGAGACGCTTGAAGTCTCTCTTTCCTTAAACCTCTCCATGTTGCATGATATGAGAGAGTACCTCTTTATATCACAGACTAATTAAAAGCCAGGCTTGCCATTAACAAGGCCCTTAACGAGAGCGCTACCACTAGCAGTTAGCAGCACTTGCCAAATGCAAAGGCTTTAGGGCAAAAGGAAAGGGTGGTTGTAGGGAGTACAAGGTGGACCCATTTCACCTGAAATGGGGAAGAGCACAGCGGGGCAGCTCCATAGCAAAGCCAAACATTTCTGAAACAGTTTTCTCTGAAAAAAAGCAGCATGTGGGGTTTTATTGTGGTTACTCAGCATCCACCAGGAGAGCTTTGTGTCCCTCTTGTTTTGTCTTTTTAAGTTGACCTGCAATGCTGGTCCATATCCATATGCTGTAATAAATGCCATTTCAGTATGTTATTTGTATTTTTTTTCTTGTGTGTTGGTTACCGTGCCGGCCAAGCTCCCCTTTCAAGCCTGATGGCCCTGGGCAGGGCGATGCCGGCGGTGCCTCCCCAGGCCGGAGGCCGGGCCGAAGGGCCCAGCTCCGTCCATGGGGGCCGCGCTGAAGACACCGGCGGCGGCGCCGCAGGATCCGCCTGGCCCGGCGTCGGCGGCGGCGCCGCAGGATCCGCCTGGCCCGGCAGCGACGCCGGCGCTACCGCGACCCGGGCGCGCGGCTTGCTGCTCGCTAGCTCCTGCTGCACGCTCTCCTTCTGCGAGCACGTGGGAGGGTCGTTAACGCTTCCAGGTTTAAATGCTGTTTTCGCAGAAAGCTGGCTCCACAGCTCACGGGAGAAACGTGCCTCCAGGGGCTGCGGGCACAGACTGAGGATTTTAACAGCGCTCTCAGGTTGGCTTTACATATGGGGTCACTTAAAAGCTGTGCGCACCATGGCAAGGTGCCAGCCTTGTGTCTCACTTCAAACTGGAGACTTTTAAAGAGGCTTCGGTGAGGGTTGGGTCAAGGTGCTTTTGTTGGTTGACTGTTTTGTACTAGCACCAAACGCGGCCCCGTTCCTGCCCGTGTTTGCTGTGCTACAGCCGTCCGTCCGCAGGAGAGCGCCGAGGACGGTGCGTTACCGCGGCGAGGCCTCGGCCGCCACCGAGGAGGCCTCGCTGCCTGCCGCCTTTGACCCCACGCTGTGCAAAACACTGCCTAAAATGCACATAGTGGGGAATAATCTCCCTTTAGACTGAAGGCTCATCTAATATTATTCCTCTCAGATTTTGGTGGGCTGCAGAATTGACCTGTCTCTTCACTGTTGAAGCGCGCCAGCTGCTCTGATGCAGCAACAGGAGTTGCAGCTTAGAGCAAATACATCTAAAGTGAGGGTCCTCCCACGCGGATCCCTGTCCCTTTGGGCCACGGGGCCTCCTTGGCCTTTTCCTGGATTTCCCTGGCACACTCAGTGGAGCAGTCCCTGGTTGTGCTTGCTTTGGGATGGCACTGCTGTGGATGGGACCAGTGTCTGCACGTTCACAGCTCCAGCACCTCAGCTACAGCCCTAAACCCAGTGCGGGATGTGAGCAAAACACCTCAGGTTTCACCTGAGTTAGAAACCGTGCATTTACTTCCCAGAGTCACAGACTCGTTATGTGCATCCCCAGCCTCCTCCTCCTCCTCTGCTGAACATACTTGAACTCTGGTCAGGCCTCGCTTGCACCTGTGGAGGAGCAGACCCCTTTCAGCTGATTACAATGAGTAACGTCAGGTGAGTTCCTGCAATGAGTAACGTCACCTGAACCAGATCTTGATATCAGAAGATACTTGCTAAGGAGCATGGACTGGGTGCTTCACTGGCCAGAGAAGAAATTCCTGCCAAGAAAGAACACTAAACATCTCCAACTCATCACCTTTGCTGTCTGCAGGTAATTTATAGAGCAATTCTTACTTGTATCTATTTGCTTTTTTTGCATGTGGTTAAATAGGCAGTAGAAAGTTATTTAAAAGACAAAAGCATGTTTTCTTTTTCTTCTGTTTAAACCTCCAAACATGGCTAATTCTTTAGGCACAGACTAAAGGCTGGTCTTATGTGCAAAACATACTGTGGAGGCAAGAGGATATATGTTCACTACAGGGGTTATCCAAGGAGAATTTTTCTCGAAATGTCAGTTTATGACTGAGCTCTGTAGACACTTACCACAAAGAAGAAATGCTAATCAGTCAGCTTGAAAACAACAACAAAAAAGGCTAAAAAGAAGGAAAAAAAAAAAAAAGTAATTATCCTCTCTTGCCTTTCCCTCCCTGACATTGGCAATATTATTGTTATATTAGTTGCCTGGTTATCCAGCCCTTTCCCGGAGAGATAAGACCAGGTTGTATTTCTTAATGTGTTTTTAGGCACCTAAACAAAATTTCCTCCTTTTCCATTTTTATCAATGGCTATTAGTGTTTCTACTCAACAAGAGCCCTTAAAAATCTCCTACAATAAATTCTCAGCCTTAGAATTGAGAGATGTTTCTATATTCCAGCTACAACTGGGATTTGCTCCATTTTGCTCATGCTCACCTGTTCAGTACTAGAGAACAGAGCAGGGGTTTTCTGTCACGCAGCAAAAAGCACGTGGAAGTTTAGGGCCTCTGGGTCAGTGTCACTGCATTTATCTCCAGGTGTCCTATGCAGGGATACTGATCAAGATTATTTAGGAGAGATGGTGAATGTCCACTTCAAGAAAGGAATACAGCTGCAGAAAGAGCCAAGGAGCTCGGGTCTCCTCATCCTGCTCAGGGTGCACCTGATGAATTTGGATTAGCTGCAGATGGAGAGGGGATTTCACTAACGATGGGAGCAGAGACAAACTCCCAGAGCCAGGGCTGCAGGGTGAAAATGCCTAACACCTATGTACCTATTTCTCACTTTAAACTATGAAAACCACAAATATGCTATTGAGTGAGAGGCAAAACCTATGCAAATGGAACGATATCCTCTTACTTCCCCAGTAAAAGCGAATGTTCATAACTCATTCATACGCCATTGAATAAGTGCTAAGATTCACCGGGCTGTTAATTATCCTCCACAAAGGCCTGGGTATTGTGCTCAGCCTTAGCAAAGGCGCTGTCGTTATTGTCATACACATGGAGAATGGGACCTGGGGGAGAGGGCGGAAACGGCTCGTGCAGAATCTGAACAAGGAGAGCTCTGCTGCACAGAGGGACTCACAGGGCGGGATTTTTATATATTGTGCTTCAGAAAAATCAGCTTTTTTTGGTCAAAAAAAAGGAGCAAAATTCTTGCTACATGTCTTTGATGATTTTCCAAATATGCAATATCACTAAGTGTCTGAAAGACACCAGCCACATAAAAAATACCTGCTGTTATTCAAAGGAATTTCTAGGATTGTTTTGAGCAAGGAGTTTGAAGAGGGGGACCCGTTTTGTTTTGCCTTGAAGGCAGCGAGCCCGTAATCATGTCGCGGCAGGAGGAGGCAGCGGAGGCGGCCAAGCCCCGTGCGTTTGGCTGCTGCTTTCATCGCTCTTGGTGCAAAGCGGCCTGGTGGCCCCAGCGTGGCCTGGGAGGGCTGGCCCTGCCCCGGGGCGGCGCGGCGGCTGCAAGCGAGGAGGTCACGCTCCCCATTCCTCCTCATTTTCCCTCTCCTTCCCTCTTCTCTGTCCTTGCACCGGGTGTTGTCACACAGTGTGAGTGCAGAGATCGCCCGGCTCCCTGCTTGCTCCAAATGTGTGTGTTGAACACAATGTTGTTTTCTGATGGAAACGCTGAGAATGACAAGAAAGTAGAATATACAAAGCTAAGCAAAGGAGAAGTAAAACTCCTGTAAATGCCAAGCAGAGACAGGGAGGAAGGAAACAGAAAGAATAAGGCAGAGATGAGGAAATCAGAGCAAGACTTTTGGGGTTGGATAAGAGAAGCTGGGCAATGTTGTGGCCGACCGCTGGACTTGCACTGATGGGAACAGCTGCCCCTGAATCCCAGACTGGCTCTGATCACGGCAGTGAAATAGATGGATCAAACTGTTAGCTCTGAGTTCAGCATGATGTCTTTTGGAGAGATGCTGGGTTTATTTGTGCCGCTAGAGTCAATGAAAAACCAGTATTGCTTCATGCTCAGACGCCCCTCACTTACAGCAGCTGGACATGGTAACTAGCTGGCAGCAGCACGTTAGTAGGAGTCTAGGCACTGCTGTATGATGTTTCTTGCAAGAGGGTGAGAAGTTCACAGTGCTATATGATGTTTCTTGCAAGAAGTTTAGTTGCTTCTTGCAAGTTCTTCAAGGAAAAGCTGGGATGGCCGGCCTCGAGGCAGGCAGGAGCTTCCCCATGGTCAACCTGCTTGGCTGAAGTGACGTTAGCTGCTATGTGGGCAAGCAGCGTCCCAGCACGTTGCCACCATTCACAGCTCGGGAAATGTTGGGAGGCCGTTCTCTCTGTAATTCCTGTTACCAGAATTACTTCTGCATTTGGCACGCCGTTGTGCAAAAGGGAAGACTGAGTATATTTTGGCTTTAATAGTGTTACCAGAAAGTGAATGTTTGGCTAACAGCTGCTTATGAGCTTCTTGTTTATCTGGGAGTGACTTGTATCACATCTCCACAACTTCTGATGTTTAATGTTAAAACATTTTAAGAGGATTTTAAAGATCTTTTTTTTTTCCGTGTTTGTCTTTTGTGATGAGTCAGGAAATAGCTGTGGTGCCTCTGAAGCGCGGGGCCCAGGGCTGCAGCCCTCCAGCCATAACAAACCCGCGCGGCTCCTCCTGGGGCCCTGCTCAGAGCGCGGGGGAACAGAGCGCTGGGCTCGCTGCATGCGCGTGGAGGACTGCAGATGTGAACAAAGGAGTCTGAGGGGGTTTTAGATCCTGACGGGGAGTAAAACTCACCTTAACAACCCCACCCCCCCCCTCCAACCCCACTGTGTTTCCTTCGTTCAGCCAAGAGCAGAGCCACCGGTCTCGGGAGAATCCATGTGCTATCCTGCGAAAAATGCCCCAGTCCAGCTGTGCCCCCGGCCAGCTTTCCTGTCGGGCAGTTTCGGTGACTGAAACTGCTATTCATTGAAGGGCTGAAGTCAGTTTTTTTGTTTTGTTTTTCTGTGAAATAAGCTGTGATGGTTTTTAGATCATGAACTAAAGCCGCAGCCTACGTGCTGGGAGTGGAAGAGGAAACGCGTGCGGGGGTGACTGGGTTAAAGCGTTGCAGGAAGGAGGACTTTGTCCTTTCCCTACGCCCGCCTAACGTTTTCCCAGGAGCTTCCTTTGCGGGTGGCAATGCCGGGCACGTGAGCCCTGCGAGCAGCATTTCGCCGGTTGGGATTCCTGATCCAAGCCGCATGCCGGGGCCCCCGGGAGCTCGGGGACGGCGGGCGGGAGCAGCAAGGCTCATGTGGCCCCCAGGCCCGCCCGGGGCTCGCGGTGCCGCGTGCGCAGCTTTGCACAGGATATTGCGCGGTTTCAGCTTTGCTTTCTGCAGCAGCTTTGGCCGCCGGCCCACGTGGGGAAGACGGTGTCGTTTAGAAAACGCCTTCCAGATCTGGCAGCCATTTGAGGCACAAAGAAACAAGCCCTGGGCGCCATGAAAGGGGTGTGGGATTGGGATCCGAAATACAGAGTTTAGCCTGATCCCAAGGCTCCACGTGTGACCTGTGGCCAGGCACTGGGGATGGCCACACGCAAACCTGTGTTTGTGAACAGGGCTGGTGGCTCCCTGCTCGCCAGGGGCCTCTTAATAGGAGCCTGTGGCCAACTTCAGTCCCGAGGTAAAACTGCGGCAGTGCCGCTGCGATGGGCACCGTGTGCCGGAAAGCACCGGGCACGGATTCGAGCAGCTCCCAAGCCGGTCGGCACTGGTGTCCAAGAGCTGGCAAACATTTTATATCGGGAGATAAGGGTGTTTCGCTTTCCGGAGCGTAAACACGAAAATATTTGTTCTTGCAGATTAGTGGCGGTGGCAGCGAAAGCGCTTTCCCGTGGTCCCGGTGGGAAGCGCTCGGCCTCGGGGCCGGCAGCTGGGCTGCGCTGGGCCGAGCAGATTAGAGCTGGGAGTAGGGCTAAATAGCAGATATGGGCCGAGCTGGCGCCTCTTCCCGCGGGACGCACCAGGTCTCCGTGGGGTGCCTGCCAAATGGCTTCCCGGCAGCAAAGGGAGCCGTGGGCACCGCTGGCCGGCGCGGTGACGAGGAGGACGAGCCCTACGTGAACAGATGATGAACAGGAAAATGAGCTATTCCTCACTTAAAGTGAGTTTGAGTTCAGCAGCCTCTTGGCTGCCGGCTGGTTTTGGCACTCTAAACGGGATGCTACGGGCTCATGGAAAGCAGATCAAATATATATATACATATATATATTTCTGTCATTAGCAGTCTGTTTCCCTTCATTGCTTGCAAACCATATGAGTAAGGAAACATTTTCTGGCCATTCACAGAGCTGTGCAAACCTCGAGCCCAGCCTGGGAGCTAAGCCCACATTTAACTTCTGGTCCATGGAGTCGCACCGAGTTAGCTCCGTGGGGAACAGTAAATAAGAGTGAAGCAGCCTGTTCCTCCTTGCATAGAATTAACTTGCAGATTTAATTGACCTATTTTATTGTGCATGTTTATGCTGAATTGTCCTACTCTAGGAATTACCATTCATACAGGAATATAATGGCTCCAGTGACTAACTTTAGTGGCACATAAAAAGAGAGTACTGCCAAATTTCTAAGGTTTTATTGGTGCTGTTCACTTGCACTTTTAAAATGAAAGTTCATTTGTTCAATAATTGCTTATCAACAAAAACAGTCTAATGTCCTCTCTCTGTCTTTAAATAATCAACGTAGAGCAGAAAAATAAGACTACTTGTGCAATTTATTTTAAACCTATGTTAGAAAAACAGGACTGGCAGCTATAACGTACTGAAGAAAATGGATATTTATTTTCCCATAAAATTGCTAAACTAGCTGGTTTAGAAGACTGTAACTTAATTTTATTGCTCCAGGCATTGGAATTTCTTATTACTGTGCTAGATCATTATTATTCTCTTAGCAACAAAAGATTAAAAAAAAAAAAATCATTAAAAATGTTTCAGACAAGCCTCTCACACGTGAGGCGGCAAGAACAGCCGCACAGATCCCTTTGTCGCCCTGCGACAAGAATGGGCACGTGTGTTTTTGTCGGAGCGAACCTTTTTGGGAAGAAGCGGGAAGGAGCAGGATTTGGCTGCTGAATTCTTTCATTATCTCTCCTTCCTTTGTGCGGGGTGGGAAGGAGCGTGAATGAGAGCGGCGCTGGTTACGGTGCCGGCGTCCAAGGGAGTCGGTGTGCATTGATTTCCTGCGCGCCTCCGAGCAGGATTGCTGATCCTGAGCGCCGGCTTCCCTTGCCGCTCAACATTAGGGAGAATAAAAGCGCACGGGTGTTTTCAGAGAGGTGAGCGTGCCTCGCGAAGGAGGGCCTGAGGCGGAGGTATGGAGCGGAAGAGCAGAGCTACGGATGAAAGATGAGCTGCCGTGCCCGGACCATGGAAATGCCGCAGCCGTCCGGGAGGGATCACCAGTGCTGGCGGGAGACGGTTGGTTCCTGGAGCGGGGACCATGGGGTGCAAGGGCAGCTCCTGGTGAACGAGCCCTGGTCCTCAACAGGGAGGAGTGCGGGCACGCTTCGGTGCCCACCTGGAAATCAACAGCCCGAAGCCGTTTTAGGGAACGGACTTTAGGGAATGGTTAGACACTTAGACATGATGAGGCAGATAAAAAATGGGATGAGAGTTTTCCAACAGCACTGGCTTTTGCTAACCACAGACCAAAGGTCTGGCTGCATCGTGTGAAGCGTCTCTGCTCTCCAGGGTGCAAGAGGCTGAAACGCGCTCTCCTCTCGGACTGCTGTGCCGCATGCAGAGCGCTGGGAATCCACTGGGAACATCCCATGGCATCGCTGAAAATAAATGCTCGTCCTTCCTTTAATCTCATGCTTCTGTTGAGCGTGTTTGGGAAATCAGGGGTGATTTCAAAGCCAAATTCTCTGTGCTTAATCAGTTGTTATTGCACTGTATGAAGACAAACAAACCAACCTCTCCTTTCTTGCCCAGAATTAGAGAACAGGCCAAATGAAGGGGGTCATCTTCAGAGCTGGTCAGCGATGAGCAGAAATCCGGCCCAGGCCGCCAGCCCCAGGGCTGGAGATCTGCTGGGGCAGATTGGATTCCCTTGGGCTGCCTCTGGGGCTTGGATTCTCCCAGGTCTCCAAAGCTGGATGCGCTGGCTGCAGTTTGGGCTGTGAGTAGGTATTCATATTCATAGCACCTTTCATCTTTGCAGCTTTCCTGGTGTTTTACGAGGGTTTAATGCAAGCTGCAGTGGGGTGCTTTCCTTTTACCTAGCAGCCTGTTTTCATGAAATTCATAGGAAAGATTTTTGAGTCTTTTATTGCTCTGTAAGATGTGGTTAAATTGGTTCCTGTTGGTTCCCATTCCCTCTCTTTGCACAATGTGCAAGTATGTACATGCAATGTATGTATACACACACATATTTATTATAAGTATGTAGAGATAATCATCACAAAAATCTTTTAATTTCTGTAGGAATCCAGTCTAGGGGAAAAAAAAGTAATATTCTTTCTTTTGGAAAGGAGAATCATTTCCCCCCCCCCCCATACAGCAGATACTCAGTTACTGCTCTGCTTAAATATAGCGTGTGTTGCTGAAGATGAGGCCTTTCCTACTGCAGAGGACGTGGTGAAATGGTTGTCCTGGAACTGTCAGCTTACCAGTGCGTGCACACGTAGCCCTCGGTGCTTGAGTGGTCCTGCTGAGAGCAAAGGAATGCTTGGGGAACACGGGCTTGCAGCAAGATCCGTCTGCATTAAATATTTTGGAGTTTTGCCACGGAAGGAAAGGCATGTCACCCTTCATTTGTAAGTAATTAAGATGATAGGGGAGTCTGAGTTTTGCAACTTTGTGAAAACAAACTAATAGCAGTGATCCACTTCAATAATTCAGATGCTAATTGGCACGCGAGAGAGAAACAATATATTAAGAAATAATTAACTCCTGTTAATTGATTTTTAGAAATAGGAAGGACACCTGCAGCAAAGTACAGAGGTTTGCAATGCCACTAGGTTGGGAGGGCTGTGCAGCAGCTCCAGAACGTGGGTTGAAGAGTGAAGTGCAGCACGGTCTGAGAAGCAACGTGAGCTGGGTGACTGTGGCGACCTGCAGAACTGGGAGACCGTGAGTGTTTTTTGGAGGTATCTCCAGGAAGCTAAGGTGATTTACCAGTTGAAGACTGTCTATATCTCTTTTTATGCTAACAGCATCAGTGCCTTATTTTCAAATCTCAAATATGTCTCCTTTGGGTCTAAACTGAAGTAGACTTGACAATTCTTTTACCAATGTGTTTCTCGGATAAGTTTTAATTAATAACTATATATATTTTTTTCCCAAACAACCTATTCTATAATCAGGCCTGGAATTGCAAGCCCCACTCAATTTACTTTCCCTGGGCAATTGTGGTGCAGTTCTGCTTGTCTGTGGTACTGCAGAAAAACAAGGTGAACACTGACCCATCCAAATTCAAAATTCTGACTTCACTGCACTACAATGTAAAAAAAGACAAAAAAGACAAAAACAAACAAACAAAAAAAAAAAAACTGAAATGAGTCCTAAAAGTTTTTTGACTCCTCTTTAAAAGTTATAAAGAAGTTAAAAGGCACAAAGCTAATCTGTTCTGTTATTCTTGAAGATTAAATCTGCTTTTAAGGAAATCATGCTCGTGGCCAGAACAAAGGCGGCTGACCCTGACCCTGTGGAAGTGCCACAAGGTTGTGTGAAACCATCAGGACTCCTTGCACGGGAGGCAGAAGAGAGAGCAGGTGCCCTGGGGGGGATCTGAGCCTGGAGCCAGCATGGGCTGGATGCAGCCCAGCCTAGAGCCAGCCCAAAGCAAATGCGGGGATGCTCCGGGTATCCATGTGCCTCTCCTGCAAGCAGCTGCTGCTTCTCCTACAAACAGTCCCCCCTGGATTTTTTTTTTTTTTTAAAGGAAAGCACCAAGACAAAACCCTCACCAAAGGCCAGGAGTCTAGAGGTGTTACCCGGGGTCATGACTTCAGGTCTAAAAACGCAAATCCACTTATCGCTCATTCTCCGAGCACTGTAATCCCCTGGGGCTCCAGGCTGCTGGACGTGGTGCTGTTCACAGCAGCCTCCGGAGCTGCTGCCGAACACGCAGGAGAGCTTGGGCAGAGACCTCCTGCTCCTGGGGGAGCCGCTCACTTCCACCTGCTCCAGCCCAGGGAAGCAGGATTTGGGCTGGAATTCCCAGGAACGAGCTACTTCATCGCTCCGAGGCTCGCTTCCTTTTCAGAGTCTGCAGCCCCTGCTATTAATCTTTGAAAACTTCCATACACGTGTGTACATAATCTGCCAAAAACTCATTTCGACGATAGTTTTAATAGAAAGTATATAATGAGAATGAGGTTTTCTTTCAGGTGATTCTTGACTGTCTGTTTTATCTATTCATCTAACTATTTATCTACCTATTTATTTCCATTCAGATCTTGTGATGGGCTATGCAGAAGGATCTTTACACTACATGTTACTGATCCTAGAAACTGTGATTATGGACTTTTGCCTTTCAACACTTCAGGTAAAAATTATGGTTTTGATTCTTTTTTTCCCCCATTATTTCTTTAATTAAAATATTTCAGTTGTGAGGACCTTGGCAGGTAGAAATTTAGCGTAAATGATCAGAGAATTATGGGCCTTAAAGGAAATAACTTTTAGGAAGCTTAAAAAAAAAACTATATATTTCTTGGTGAAGAGAAATTGGAGAGCTGTGCTTCCTGTCTACCAGGATGTCACCTGGTAAAGGACATATTTTCAGCTATATATAAGGTATCTACTTTTGCTTGTTCCTTGTTCTACTGAAAGGGGAAAAATATCAGACAAATTTGTGATTCTTCTTTGTAAGAAGCAAAATTTTGTTAGTGAAAAAGCTACTCGCTTTGGTGGAATAAGTTGCCAAGTGAATAAAAATAAGCACCCAAATTTTATAGAGGAGATATAACCAAGTTAATCTTTATTTACACTTATACAGAAACAAAAACTAGATAATACAGTTAATGAAAAAATGCATGCACAACACATTCAAAGGCTTCCTCTTAGTCACGCAGTTTAACACTGTAAAGAAAAAAATATAGAATTAGGTTTTTTTCCCTAACATCTTATTAAGGACAGGGTTTGCTTACCAATCAAATTAGAAAATAGCCCCATGGAATTTAAGAATTCATAGAATGTCACAAACAAACAAAATGCATCCAGGGAGAGTTACAGCTGTAACAAACAAGAAAGAATTTCTTCCTAAAAGGGAGCATGACTTATTTTGTCCTAATTGCTTAAAAAAATATTTTAAGTGGAATGACCAGGGAAGAAACAATGTTCTCGATGACTGTCCTTGACTAGTGGCATGTGCAGAGCTCAGACATTGTTGGCCCCATTCTTGGAAGATCTGTCATGTGTTGGTGAAGAGTCACGGCCTTAGACCCGTGCGTGGAGGGGGTAGTTTGGCCGTTTACTTATTTGCAGGTTCCTCCTCCTCTCGTGGCTACGCTGTGCCTCACAGTCCTCTAATCAAACACAGGCTGGAATGGTCAAGCTGTAATTTTGTCCACGAGTTTGCTAGGCCTTTCCTTATCCCATGAAGAACTTCCACTGGATGGGAGCAGATTCAGTGGAGTCATTTAAGCGCACCCTAAGTAGTAAGCACCCTGATCTAAGTAGCAGAAATTTTTCTTTGCTCTTTTTTAAATTGAGTTGTTGAATGAAGACCTCTAAGCAGAAACTATTATTTTATGTCTTCATTTAAAACAATCAAAAAAAAAAAAGCTCTTCCAAAACCCAATTTTGCTTTTAATACTTATTATTTGTCTTTTGTATTATTTGTCTTATGTACTTGGGCATTATTGCACTCGTGCAGAGGACTATACAAGTGCTTTGATATTCACAGCACCTCCATAAAGCTTTGGGGTCTCTCCCCCACTTTGCAGTACTGTTTGTGCTCCCGTGGAGGCTAGAAATCCTGGGCTAAAAGCAGGCTCTTTCCGCAAACAGTGGACACAGACAGCAAGTTCCTGTGCTGTGTGGCAAGCTTGCCCGTCTGAGCTCGTCTGCTTGCTCTTGCTCAAGGGAGTCCTGCCTCTCCTCAGCTCCTTCCACCTCTGGAGTCCTGCCCCGTCCCCCACTGCGGCTACTTTGACTCGATTTAACTCGAAGCATGAGGAGCAGTCATTTTTGTGGGGGGCTGTCTGGCAATCCAGCAGGTTGATGAGGTTTGGGAGAGGTCAGGGAGCTGTTGGATGAGCTCAGTTCTCCTGGCCCAACCACATCTGCTGCTTGGGCCAGCTCTCGCCTTGCAACACGTGTGCTGCCCGAGCCCTTCCTCTCGGGGTAGGGACAAGCTCCCCTGGGATGATGATATGGGCCCTGACAACATCTGTCTCTGGCCACGGCTGCTTCCCCGCTGACTTTTCACCAAGCGAGGAATCATTTCTCCGGTGGTTCCTAATAGGATGAACTGAGTCACGCAACTACCGCCAACTATTATGTGCTGACTCAAGACACAAGTCAACTTCCTGTGGGCCCCTCCTGCAATTTGCTGTAAAGAACACCCAATATTCTTAAGCAAATGGCCCTGTATGAGATGTAGAAGTAGCACAATGTTTAGGAATAATAGTTAAATCCTTAGGCTTTTTGGCTAAGACTTAATTGCCAGACAAAGGCTAAAATTCAGGATGAAGTTGGATTCTAGTACATTCAGTGAATCGGATTTGCAACCTTATCCCTCTTGTTTTTTTTGTGGTACCAAGCAAATGTTTGGCACTTAAAACACAAAGCCCATGTGCCTCAAATTTACTGAAACTTTCAGCAGATGAACGTAATAAGGTATCAAAAGGATATTTCATCAAAAGGATATTTCCTCCGATTATCAATTCTTGTGTTACAGTTAATTTTCAGGCCCATGAGATTTACACATACTCTGCTTGTTCTCCCTTCTTTACAGGCTGTGATTTACAGTGACTCGATCAACTGAACCCTACTGACTCCTCAACCTCACTTCAAATCCCAGCATTCAGAACCAAAACAACCTGGATCTCAGTTTTCCCTCAGTACAGAATCCACCACAGCCGAGTGCTTTCCTGCCCATCTTGTCCAGTTGCATTCTTGGTTACAGCGTGACACAAACACCTCTTTACAGAGGAACAGACCAACAGAGACATGAAAACTGAACTGGACCGCATTCCAACAACCCTTAAATGACATATTCCTTCAATTAAATGCCAAGTCACGGGAAAAAAGGGCAATTAAAGACCACGATAATATATTGTAAACACGGAAGATTCAGAGCAATCAATCTATGGACAGAAAACACATTTCCAAGTATTGAGGGAAGCTGAGTGGTGAGCTGCTCCTTGAATTTGTACAGACTTGATACCACCATAGAGGCTGAGCTCAAACGTTTAAATCGATGAAATTCAAATTGCAAGTCAAATATAGCACTAAGCTTACAATTGAATGACAGCAGAGTTGTTAGAGTTCTTTCCAATTTGCATCTTTCCTGTCTTTCAAAATTTTCCATGCAGTTTCATCAGAACCTGGTAGGCATTACTTCCTTTCCTACGCTCTCTTGCTGCTTACTGCAAAGGCTCCATTTCAGTTCTGAAATAGCTGTATTTTGGTGTCCAATGGCATATTCCCGTACATATAACCACTGTTGGTGTCTCTACATCTACATAGCTGAAATGACAGCCCTGTTTTCAGGAAATGGATCCAGAATTCATCCCAGGGCCTGCCGTTTACCACCAGCAGCCCGGAAACAGGCGGCAAGGGCTTAGAGAGGTAAAGCTTATTAATAACAGACTGGTCACGGTTAGTTTATTCAGATCACACAGAGACAGAGCACATCTGGTGGGTGATCTCGGGGAGGAGGAAACGGCGGCTCCTGTGCCTGGGCACGCAGCTCAGGCCCGCGGGGGCCCTGGCGAGCAGCTCGCAGCTTCCACCAGGGCTGCCACCACGGCCCCTCTGCAGCGCCAGCTCCTGCCAGCTCAGCACACCGCCACTCCAGTGCCTTGGTAACAAAATGCTACAAATAATGTCTTTTCTCATCTTTTTTTTTTTTTCTTGTAATATTTTTTGCTCCTGGTATGTTCTTGATCTCCACTGTAAAACGGCAAATAAAAATACCTTTTTTTATGAATCAATTTTTAACATTCCTACATGAGTATTTAGGCCCTTTTTTCTTAGTTGTATACCTGTTTTTTCAACTTGATCATAATTTACTTTTAATATGCCTGCTTATTCTGTAATGTTCCACTTCTCTTTTAGCTGCATTTAATACTCTCAACAGTCTCCCCTTAGTTTTAAATCTTGACTAGAAAAAAAAAAGGCCCTTAACTGCTATTGTGAAGCCTATTTGCATCTGAGTTTTATGGCCCCTGCAAAACTCTTTAACATATAAAATCAATCCTAATATCTTTCAAATCTGAAAGCACTTTCAAATCTTTCAAGTCTGAAAGCACTGCAGCGAGGTCACCAGTCTGCAATCAGATCCATATGGGTGAACTTCTGTATCAACAACATCTCTCTGAAGTCACACAGCCCTCAGCACAGGGCCAAATGTAGGAGAAAGATCAACATTTGTGCTTAACAGAAGAGTTAAACAATGTAATCTTCCTGAGGCAAAACACCACCAGCAAAATTCCACAATATTTGGAAACATCTTGCTAATTAACAAATGCAGGGAAAAAAAAATCATTGCTACTCCCACTTTATGAACAGGGATTATTTCTCTTACAGATCCATCATTAACTGAATCATTTTCTATATAATATTATCACTATATTATAGTATCTAATATATAGTGGTAGTTTTATATATATATATATCACTATAAATATATATACCTTACTAATGTAATCTCTATATCACTATACTATAGTGACCTATAATAGTTCCAGTTCCAGGATGAGAGGATAACATCTGTTTCACTAACAATTTCTGATACTGCAAAAGAAATTGAAGATTTTGTATCAGCTGCAGAAGACTTTTTTAGCTACTGGAGCAGTCTTGGGCGTCAGGTAATCTTGCACTTTCAATTTCCTCTTAAAATTTGCTCATACACAGATACTGACTCATTTTTAAAGATTGTATATTCTGGTTGTACTGTTCAAAAGCTACATCTGACATTATTATGACAAAATAAGTGTGCCTTCTGTTCCTGGTTACACCTTCCACATCTGAGAGTGTGCTGCTGTTAAAAAAAAAACTATGAACTGCAAAAAAACCTTCCTCTTTTTCATGGGCCTGTTATTTAACTTACCCAGAACTTATTCTAAAGTAGAAACATAGAAGACTATGCAAAACAAAAATGGAGGTTTTTTTTAAAGGGGTGTTTTTTAAAGCTGTGAAAAAAAGGAATTGTAATAAACAGGGTTGGAATTATAATTTACACCAAGTGCAATTTTCAGAGTTTTGCAAACAACTTTTAATAGTATTAGCAAAAGTAAATGTGCTTAAAGAAAGCCTACAGCTATCATGCAGCAGCAGCAACCTTCTGCTGACACAGAGGACACTGCCTTTCTCCTCCATCATGGATTTCTAATATATTCACGTTCTTCTGAGTATGTTTTTCCCTGTTTTGAGATGGTTTCTAGGCTAAGGTTCCAAACATAATCCATGGGCGGTTTCTTCCAAACATTCATGGTGAGGGATTGATTAGAAATTAGTGTTTATTCTCTGTTCACAGAAGATACTGAAAATCCCAACCATAATTTTGTTGCCTAACCTCCCAGGGGCAACCTTTCTGGGTAACCCATGGCTTCAGATACTATGCTGAAATTACTATATATATGTAAGAAAACGTTCCATGTTTCTCCCAGGCAGTTCTCAGGGCACACTCCCCTCAGGAGGGTGAAAGGGAGGCAGCTCTGGATCCCATTCGCAGGCTCCCTGGGATCCAGGTGAAACACCGCCACCGAAGGCGGGTTCCTGGGGGGAGCGCCCTGTAGCCTGCCCTACACCCTGCCCTATATGTGGTTTACCACCTGGCAGCGGGGCAGGGCCGCGGGGCGCCCCGCGGGGCCACGAGCGAACAGGCCCCGTCACCAGCAGCTTCTGCCCCCCACGTACTTAAGGCAGGCCCTGCACACGTTTCCTGCCCCCCTGGGCAATCCGAGCCACCAGCTTCCCTCGCGTTGCGTAACGGGAGGGACAGCGCAGCGAGCAGGGCGGCAAGCGCCCTAATTCCCCGCAATCACGCTAATTCCCCTTAAGGTGGCTTAAACAAACAAACAAAAAAAAATAGATAAGCAAAGGCTCGTGTTCGCGTGAGCCGCGGTGCTCTGCTCGCGCTCGGGGGCCCGCGGGCCGCGGCCGGGCCTGCTGCGCCGCGCTGCGCTGCCCCGCCCTGGGCAATCCGAGCCACCAGCTTCCCTCGCG